CCCAGCTGACATATTTTCACACACATCAATCCACACACCCACACACCTATACGAATTTAAATGGTCAAAAGCCATTCAAAGACAGGTTCCAATTCCATATTTGTTAGCTTGACTATTTAAGTTAATTGAGCAATCAAGGTCTCATCAAACACACTGAGATATGCTTTTGAGCAAAACTACTGACCTTTGACAAGCAGATGAACTTCTGACAGTGTTGTTTCTTTTTCTTCTTCGTCAATCATGCTGCAGGTGTAGTTTCCATTGTCAGAAAGTTGGAGTTCACTTAGAGTGAGGCTGAAATCACCAGAGTCGAAAGCATCAGCTCTCATTGATGTTCGTCCTTTGAAAATCTCATTTTGTGATTCTAGGTTGTCTCCTTCTCGCCGTTGATGGACGATATCAGGTTTAAGATCCAAGCGTCTCCATTTCACTGTAACCATCTCTTCTAATGGTTGGCTGTACTGACAGGGCAGAACAACAGACTGAACCCATTGAACCTCCACTTTTTTAGTCAATGAATCCTGAGAGGCTGGAAGGAAAAGAAAAATACATGCTTTAAATGTCTTAAAATAAATAACCTTTAGTTACATTACATTTCATCTTTGGACGATTTAATCCTATATTATTATCATAATATTACTGCCTTAAAGTTCTCTACATTCATACTTAATTAAGCAGTATCATGAATGAATAAGAAAAAAAGGATTAAATGTATTATTTCTACACATAGATTTGTTAGATTTGTCTCTCTACAAATCTAACAAAAATCTCAAATTAAAACCCACCTGTTTAGAGTTGCTTATGGCTAGAGTGGGGGGTTTGATGTCTTTGATGTTTTTAATGTTTTTATCTTTACTTTTCATCTATTTATTAATGTCACATACTGTTTTTATGTTTTCTTTAATTATGTAAAGCACCTTGAAATGCCTTGCTGCTGAAATGTGCTATACAAATAAAATTTTATTTGATTTTGATTTACAAATCTTTATTGGTGAATAGTACCACATAGCTCAGGGGGCTACAGGCAGAAGACAATAAATCTGCTTAAAGTATGTAGCCCCTTTGAAATGTGATCATAGTGATAATAAAATCTCCAGGCCAGGACACTGTTTGTTGCAGTCCTTCAGAGTTCATGCTTAAAACTAACAATAAAATGTATCAAAAAGGGAGAGTGTAATATATATATTTATAATCACATATAAAAGACATGCAGGATACCAGCCAGGTAGCTTACCTTTCAGCTGCAGTTCAACTTCAGATAGTGTTTTTTCTTCTTCTTCATCAATCAGGCTGCAAATGTAGTTGCCGATGTCAGAAAGCTGGACTTTACTCAGAATGAGGCTGAAGTTACCAGAGTCTAGAGCATCAGATCTCATTGATGTTCTTCCACTGAAAAGTTGATTTTGTGATTGCAGGTCATCTCCTTCTCGTCTTTGATGGACAATACTGGGATTAAGATCCCGGCGGCTCCATTTCACTGTAACAATCTCTTCCAATACTTGATTGTACTGGCAGGGCAGCACAACAGATTCTGCACCCTCTTGAACCTCCACTTTTACCATAAAAGATTCTCGAGAGGCTGAAATAGCAAGCATAAAGGTTTTAAATCAGTGTAAAAATACATATAAATCAAATATGTATCTTTTGTCCATTTAATAAAATATTAATGCCTCAAAGTTCTCTTCCTTTCCAATGTATTTATGCAGTTTCACAAAGAAACACCAGATTGAATCTTAGAATAATTTAACAGCAGAAGATAACTGTTCTGATTGAT